GATAAACGCAAATCACGTTAGGACTAAACTTCCCGTTCGAAAAGCGCGAGACTTGTACATTCAAAGCCAAACACGACAGTGTTCTAGTTAATTTCTTAATAAGAACATCCAACAAACATAATTTGCTTAAATGTTGTCTGCTGATCGTATAACCCAGTAACCGATTAGCTATTGACCACAGAATTTTATATGGAATAGATGGTATGGGGATAGCAGTTAATTGAGTGGTACACATTTAATCCTATTTTCAGTCTAAACGTGAACAGTTGGATAATTCAAATAATCCTAAACTAAGTTAGGTCTTTATTGTTGTTGTTTTTTTTATTTTGATAAGTAATTAAAATTCAGTAGCATTGTATTTATGATGAGATAAATTTCCGGGGATGCTATAGGGATATGAAGTTGGTATGTCCATTCAAAGTCGACTTTTTGTCATCACCTAACAATTGTTCCCTGAAGCTTTCCAAGACTACCATTTGAATGACTGAAGAAAGTCACCAGATAGATTGCTATATTACTTTCGAACCTGCTTTTTTTAATGTTGACGTTAACTTTTATTAGAATTAAAGGTCAATGTTTTGTAAAATAATAAGTATAAGCTCCCTAGTTATATTAGGGAATATGCACCACAGCTTGCTTGTACGTTATCTGATGCAAATGCTTGACCGACTGCTTTCAGATAGATTTACATCAAGTAAAGGCCAACATGAATGTCGATTTGTTAGCTACTACAATTGTATGGAGCTAAGTGCCTTCAGTCTCTCACTCTACGGTCTTCTCTGTGGATCACTGAGGCGAACCTTATTGGTTTATATGTCTAACTTTGATAAGTTAGGGATATCGTGCGATCATCAAATCTGTGGCTAGTGGATCAGTTACACTCCAACAACTATTCATGACCTTCTAAGGTTCTTGAATGTGGGAAAATTATGAGTTTTACATGAGACGCACTGTAGGATATTAGAGGAATACCCATGCCCATACTGTTTCCGTCTTAGTATTATTTTAAGGTGCTTATTTTCTGATAATAATTTATTTAACCGCTGGAAAAACCCTTTTATATCCGTAAATAGCTGAGTGCAGACCGCCTGACACCAACCCACTCAACATTAGAAATAGGTGTTAATGGGACTGCCTTAATATCCACATAGCTCTTTTGGGATCGGCAACAAGATATTTGATAGACGATCTTAAATTAAATTTTAACCTGTAAATCTTGAGTGGTAGTGCAGAGCGAATTGAGAGAATACACCACCACCGGACAGGAAGACTCCTACTTTATGATTTTTTGTCAGATTCGTTAATAATCTTGAGATAAGTTGCACCCATTTTCTTTTTTTATGAGATTCTTCTGAGTACAGCTGACCTCAACAGTCGTGGATGGTACGAGGTCCCACTCATATCACTGCTCTTCAAGAAATTCGGGATAGAATAATGTGGTATTTTTACTGTGGTGTGGACTGCTGATGTCGACAGATATGAGCAATGTGGATCATCAATGTCTGGCAGCAGAATGTTGCAGTGACCCACTTTTATCAAAAGATCGCGATTGGTATAACGGAAACAATTACTATTATACTCGATTGTGCCGGTCATTGTTTTACAGTACTTGTTTGTTTAACTATACTAAAGACATCCATTATTATTCCATCCTTCCTTCAGTTGATTGTGGCCTTGCACGAATTCGGTTACGCTCAGTAACCACACTTGCAACCTGGCACGATCTTGATATTTTTTCGGTACCACGAGATCGCCAACGAATACATCTCGACTACAGCTCTAAACTGCCTTCTGATATTTTGCCTACGGGGGATCTTATCCATTAACTGGCACGTAGTCTTCCTGTAGTGGTGATCATAGTCAACCGCGACTAGACGCCACACTACAAGGTTGAGAGGATCAAAGAAAGGAGACAAGAACAGAGAGTTATTGGTGTGGAAACGAAGGAACGGTCAAGTCTGAGACAGTTGATTGACATTTTTCAAATGAAGAACTTATTGTATAGTTCTCAGATTTGACCAAGCTCTTCTGTGATGCTGTGTTGAAATACATGTGGTTGTCCGCACTTGTGTTAATGTTCACTACAGTACGAACTAATGATTCCTTTGTGCTTAATTTTCCACTGATTACATATTTTTGTGCTCACCTGGCTCTACCTGCCCTAAATTTCGCTACTTCGGTAATTCTCAGTTAGTACATTAATTCCAATACTTTTAATCATCATATTGGCGTTGCGATGGAGCTTGTGATTGGAAAGCTGTACATTCAAATTTTGGGGTTTCCAAAGAATAAGTGGAAGATTTTGAAATCTTAAGTATGACCGGGAAAGATGTTAAAGGTTATGAAATTTTGGCTCGTTTCCTCACATTCACTGTGGAAGAATGCCCTGTAGATTACTAAAAACTTCGGTATTTTCAGATAAGCCTATCTCATTTCTCTGAGCAACTATCAAGGACGTACTACTAAATCATGTAAATTGTAAAAGTTTCTAATGTCACAAAAGAGCGAAATTTCAGAAAATGCTTTGTCGGGACAATCAGAAGGTTAGGGGGTTTGACCTCAAATTGCAGAAACAAGCTCTTATGTGTAATTCTGGTGATTAACTTCACGCGCAGTTTCATAATCGGTTAGTTAGAGGAAATAGTATACCATATCTGGAAAGAGCTTAAATAAATGCTGGAGTGTTCCTCTCAAGATGCTAGAATTGTGTGCATTAATTATGAGGCAGTGCATGAAATTAACTTTCAGGATATAAAGAATCCTACTACGTTACCTAGTTTTCTCAATCCGATGAATACCTAAGATCATAAACGTAGACGTTAAACTAACAACAATTCTCGTTCTTTTGAAAACATGGATAACAATCCATTGAGGAGTTTCGAAGGAGGTTCCCGAGTTGAGCACAGGTTTGTTATGTGCTTATCCTGTGGTAAATTTCACCTACGTAATTCGCGTGTCGTTCCTCATGCCAAATACTTTAACTGTGATATTACTTAGAATCCTAATTACTTGAGTGATTCAAACGGTCATATACCAACCTCATCGACAACGTCCAGTTGTTCACTTTGTATTCAAAAACGATTATATTTGTCCAGTGGAGTCTTTGATGATTTTATTAGTGACATTTGCAGTATCACGTCCATCGTTCAAACTGGAAAGTTGAAGTCATTAAATCCTGATGCTATAACTAAGCCTACCAAAGTTTATATTTCGAGTAATACTCATTATGAACTTCAAATTCTTGGGTGCTGTAGTTTGCAAATTAGAGACTATAAATCTTCGATCCTTAATTGTGAATTCCTCATCACTAACTATGGTCCATCTATCCTTGGTCTAGAAGATTTATT